GCTCTATAACAAACGCGATATCAACGAACGTCAACTATACTTCTGACTGCAGTTCAATTACTCACTATCTACACACACATTATTGTCCCGTCACGTTGTCACCCTCTTTTATATACCAGACTACCCTATATCTAGTAAATGCTAGAGCATTCGCCAAGGTACAGGATAGTTCTAGAAAGCAGGGGGCGTGACACTAGTCACGTGACCTCGCTGACGCAACACAAGAATAACTTTTATCTACAACTAAATATTTAATTTCTGTCAGTTGCATGAATTCAGGTTTGAGTAAAAGCATTAAATTGAACAGTGCTATACAGTCTCACAGTGGTTAATAACTACAAGCTTATAAGACTGACTCGGTTCTTACTTCCTACTTATGTACATATTTTTGCATGGTTTTGTGTATATTCATCCCTACATTGTTTCTATAATTTTTTGGCATTTCTGCAAACAAATTTTGATTATTTGTTTTCCCTCTTTTTTGAAACAATTTCACTGAAGCAGATTGATAGGTGAGCATTTGTTTTATTTTTATCATTCAATGATAATACATGTATTGTTAATATAATATCAGTTTCTCTAATTTTGGATTACATTGGAGGCCAGTGAAGCTGGAATGGCTCCTACAGGATGGTACAACTACCACATAGTGCTAGACCGACATTAAGATAATATTTACTCCAAACGACTCCACCACATGCTCAGGTCATGTCAATTAATAGGGAGGACATCATACAGATCCCAAACCATGAAGTATGATGCTACGCATACACACACAGCTGCTAGGCTCGGCTCCACTGAAAATTTGAAGAAAAGTAGACTGCTATATAATGTATTGTTTTGATAGTTAAGAAACTGGTGTTTTTAAACTCAGACATCAATGACATGTACACATATCTGTCAGATGCTTAAAAACTTGATCTCCTTATACCTTGAATATTCATTTAGATTATTCTTTGTTTCTTTCTTTATTTTTACTGAAATTGTTTTGGCAGATATCATGTTTGTGCAATGAAAAGTCACAATCGGTCATTATATAATGAAACTGTTATTTATGCTTATAAACTGAAGTCACTGCTAAGTAGTAGTTTTCTTTTTCTATCATTTCCCCACAAAAGTTACACGTTGTAGAAGAACAGAATAATATTACTGTTATACAATTTGTGAAACACTTGATAATGGCAATTAGGTGCTCAAATAAGGCTATAACTCAGCTTTAGCAGTTATTTGTAAGCGTCAGAGAGTAATATAATGAATGTCATGGAAAGATTTTTCTCGTCCTATCTCTATATACTAAGCACTACCGTGGTTAGTGTGTTACATATTAGAATTTCAAATGGTCTGAAATTGAGCTAACTGATAATTTAAATTCAGT